CTTTGTTCACAGTTGGTGTTAAGTGAATGTTAATTTCATTGTGTTTATTGACTATAAGACATAATGAGTCTTATTCCCATATTATAACTTAGAATCAAAAAATTTTAGCATAATTTTTAATTTACTTCATATAAATGTACCAGGATACTATTTTATTTATGTTATTCCTTTTGGTTTACAGTTATTTGCTGGTATAAAGGATGGAGAAAGCCTACAGCTCTTTGAACAAAGTTCTCGCTCTGCCCATAAACAAGAGACACACACCATGGAGGCCATGAAGCTTGTAGAGTTTGACCTTAAGCAAACGCTTACCAGGCTTGTGAGACATCTTTTCGGAGATGGTAGGTACTCAGACACAGGTTGAGTATCCCTTGTCTGAAATACTTGGGACCAGAAGTGTTTTGGATTTTTCATATTTTGGAATATTTGCATATATATGATGAGATATCTTGGGGATGGGAACCAAGTCTAAACACAGTTTCATTTATGTTTCATTGACACCTTATACACATAGCCTGAAGGTAATTTTATATAATATTTTAAATAATTTTGTGCATGAAACAAAGTTTTGACTGTGTTTTGGTTGCACCCCTCATATGAGGTCAGGTGTGGAATTTTTCACTTTTGGTGTCAGCTTGGCATTTTAAAACTTTCAGATTTTGGAGCATTTTGGATTTTCACATTAGAGATATTCAACCTGTACCTTTATCTTTGGAGGCTAAACAATTATCATCTTCCAAATAATTAAGGCTGGTTGTGTGTAGATTTTTTGATATAAGTTGTAGTTTAATGTTTCCAGTTTTTAGTGGAGTAGAACTTATGGATTTCCTCCTCATTCCTTTTAAGGAACAGTACGGTATGAAAATGGAATTAGGTAAAGAAAGAAAAACAATTACAATCTTTGATAAGAATAATAATGCATCAGGATCAGTATCATCAATGGAGAGAAAGTAAAAAGGCTGATTAGTATGGTGGTATTATTTCATCATTAGATCAGACTTGATCAGTGAGGCAAGGTTCTGAACCATAAGAATGAACCCAGTGGAAAATTTTAGATATTGACATACTGATTACTACCATCATCAGCTAAAATATTAA